AATCTGACAGAATCTTGGATTTGGTCTTTTATTTCCCACTACAGATTTCTTTCCTTCCATTGCAATGCAAATTATACGAATATTACAGATTCCCTGCCTGATAAAGTCTTTGTGATGAACTTGGTATAATTTCCACTGCAAATGACATTCAATACAGAATGTTACTAGTTGGATTGCTTCAAAAACAAAAGAAAACTAGTTTGGTTACTTATGCTTCAGTATATCTTTCTGTGCTATTTTGATATATCCTTATGCTAACTTGCTGCTTGTGTATAAAATATCAGGTGGCGAGAAGCGGCAAGTAACAAAGCCCTCTAAGTTATTGGATGGATTGTCCGAGTTCGTGCTCACTTATGAAGATAAAGAGGGAGATTGGATGCTTGTGGGAGATGTTCCGTGGGGGTATGCAATTTCCATTAAAAATAAAATCACATTACTAAGTAGGAGAGGTGAGAGGAGCAGGTGGTCGGGTGGGTGCAACAGGCAGGTGTGCCCGTTGCAATGTTTCTTGGCGACCTTTTCAATTGAGACAATCAGTGGGGAGCAGAAAATAAGCTATCTGCTCGGATGGCTTACTAATCCTGCCTCACACAACATACTAAGCTTAGTGATGTGTACTATTTCTGTGTCCATAACATTATCTGTAACATATCGTTTTCACATCGATGGACCCAAATTCCATCTACTGTATATTGTATTAGGTCTCATCAGTTCTCAGTTGTTTAACCAGGTCGACTGAGAGAATGTTGAGCTCTTGAGCAACCTCCATTACCCTTCCCTGTCTAAATAGGGAAACGTTGCATAGTTCAAGCACTCAATTTCTAATTCTCATGGTTTCCTTTTCATTGTTTTTTCAGGATGTTCCTCAACTCTGTAAAAAGGCTTAGGATCATGAGGACCTCAGAGGCCAATGGACTTGGTATGCAAAATTTTCAATCAACTTTCCTGTGCCCGCTTGCTAGTTTTCCCACTTATTTTTGCTTCTCTTAGCACTCTAAATCTTCTTTTAATTGCAGCTCCAAGATTCCAGGATAGGAATGAGAAACAAAGAATAAAGCCTGTTTAGTCACTTCTTCCACAGCATTTTGAACTCCAGCAATACGGAGACACTGCTTAAAAACAAAAGACAAAGTAGAGAAGTTGATGGATCAGAATATTTTGCTAAGATTGTTCCTTCTTTTTACTGCTTTTCCATGTTTTTGTCGAACCAGTATCTGGTTCTAGCTTGTTTTTGTTGGCGATATTCAGTTTAGCTTCTTTTCTTTTCGTCTTATATGGTGCTGCTGCCATACCGGCATCGAACGCTTGACTGCTTCTCATACTGTAAATATGGGAGTACTTGATATCTAGAGTGGAGTTTGCTGCAATCTAGTGGACTCAGTTTAGTGTGTGGTTTGAAGCTTGAAATTTCTCATGGTATCGGTTGGCCCTGTCTTTGAAATATTTATACTTTAATCCATTGATTGTATGCCTGCGGATTGGCATAATTGCGTTGATTGATTCTGTTTTCTCGTGACAAACGTTAACTCTTCAAGTTGTTCTAACCTTCTTATTATGGTGCAGCTATGGTACTTAATGGTTAAACCTTCGACACCATTAAATATCGAAAACGCAATTCTGACAGTTCAGAGGCCGCCATCAAATGAAATTCCCCTGTCATGCCTTTTTTTTTAATTATGGAATATATTTTTTTATTTTTAAAAAATTATTTTTAACAGCACATTAAGAATAAATAAATAAAATTTAAATTTTTTTGAAAACATTTTAACACAGTAAAAATAAATAAATAATTTTTAAATTTTTTCAAAAACACTTTAACCAAACACAATTCAGACAGTTCAAGGCGACCATCAAATGATATTCTCTTCTCATGGTTTTTCCAATTACGTAACAGATGATATCTCTGATTTGTCATCTTCTTTTGAGCAACGCTCCAGATATGTGATGCCTCTCCACAACTAGTTTTGGCTTGTCACAACAATCCTGATGCGCTATACTATGGCACATGGTGTACCGATGGGTTGATCATCTTGCAGTTGCAACTGGTGATTCTATCCTGATGGGCTGATCATTAAATCTTACCTTGTACAAACTGTTTCAGTTTTGGCAGAAGGGTGGCTAAGAGCAAGTGGTAGGAATTGTGTATCCATATGGAAAGTTGACAAGAGGACAATGGTCAAAGAAAGATGATATTTTTAACTTAATCAGTGAGGTGAATTTTACCTGGTAATAAAATACATGATGCAAATATAGTCTTCTCCTTTGGTAAGTCTGACTTCCATGTAAACAATACAATGCTGCAACTGGTGCTTCGCCAGAAGGTGACGTAGAACATGGTTAAACTTCTCTTGTTTGAGGGGAAACATATGATTCCATAAGAAACTTTAGGCAGGAACAAATTGATGGAGTAATTTGTTTCTTTTTTTCTTCATCTTTTTGGAAAGAAAACAGAAAATAATTATAACAAAAGGACCTGGGTTCAAGTGCAAAGAGCCAATAAGTGAAATCCGGGTTAAGAGATACTAAGACAAACTTGGTGTCCAAGATTATGCAATCATTTTGATTTTGACTGCAGATTACTACATTCTGATTTTTAGCATATTGACATTCTTTATAGTAGTAATTGATTTAGGCAACTGTATACTGCTACTGTTCATGAAAACCCTCATCATTGAAAGGCCTCATGCCTAGTAGCTCTTCCTTAACTTTCTTTGCACAGTTCTGAGGATTTTCTTGCTGGTTCCCACATCTTGCGAAGTAAAGTGAAAAAATCACTTGAATTCACGGAAAAGGCTGATGGTCTCATTTTAACCTTTTCTCAATCAGCCATGAGCATGTAAATCACTTATCCACCATCTAAGGTCTATTCTTTCACTTCTTGTCTCCCAAAGCTTGCCATACATGGAAAGCCTCAACCAAAACATGAGTAATAATAAGTCTTCGAACCCTTCAGCTGGAAAGCTTTCCAGTAATACTAATGGCTCCACTGCAATCCTTGGAATGCCTTAATGGGTGGAAGGGAGTCAAGTAACAATGATGTATGTCCATTGACAGCAGAGACATTTAAATTGAGTGCTTGTGTATATTAATAAGATGATGCATTCTTGCCAACTTTTACAGCACAGTGCAGATCGCTCCACCATCTGGTAATTGCACTGAAGTGCAGGAAAAAAACAACAAACCTGTAACATGGTCATGAAATGAATGAGTGTAGGATACAAATCAAATCTGAGACTGTAAAAATGATAATCAGATAGAGACGAGGGCATTTTCCTCTGGTTGACAAAAACGGATGGGAGCAATGAATATGTCTTCCCTTTGTCTAAAACCCAAACCCGATTTTATATATATTTCTTGAACAATTGATTTTTTAAAATACATTTGTTGTTAAATTTATATTTTTATTATTTCTATTTAACTATATACAAGTTCCGCTTAATATTCATATGGAGTTTTTTTTTTCATTGTGTATTAACTGGAATTATAAAGAAAAATAAAAATTCAATAACTTAATCTATCCAAATCCTATGGGAATATTTTTTTTTTCCTCCTCCCGGAATTCAATCAACATGAGATGGGAAAGGAGGAGGTATAATCTGACCGAAACCCACCCCCATTCATGTGTTGTTAAATTTAACCCAAGTTTATTAATTAGATTTTATTTGTAGAGTTCCACGCCTACCTACCTAGATCTTCCTTAATTTATTATATAATCTCTTAAGAGATTTTATTAGTGTTTATTTTTCACCATATCCTCAGTCATATAATGTTTATAGTTATAGATATAGAAAGCCTGCAGATCTTCTTTGTAAATCTCCTCATTCTAAAATATCTTATTTAACTAATTTTTTTGTAAATAGAGTTTATAACTTTTATATCGAGATCATAAAACATAATATGAATTTTGAATTGATTTATATGAGTATCATCGTGCACTCAATGTTAAAGATTATTTTATAATGTAGATTAAACCTAAATAGTATCCTTCGGATTCCAATTATAAATTGTAAATGAGTTGTGTTAGACCATTCAAAGTATTGCAAATAATTAAATTAAATAATTATATTATTAAATTGCTATTAAAATTTAATATTATCTTTAATTTTGACATATAAGGCCTCATTATATATAAAATACAACAGTCTATTCTTGATGATCATTTTGAAACCCTTGCCTCATTATCCTTATCTTTAGCACATAAAAAACATATTAACGCTACTTTAAATGCATGAGTTGTTTTTATTAGGGATGATAAATTTTAACAAATCCTAGTATATTAGTTAGACGATCAAATTCAGACTATATTTTAGATTATTAAAGAGACAGGTTGATCCTTATTTTTAAGAGCGTTATTAGAGTTGTCTTAACCTATTCTCAACGGGATCGAATTCTTTCAATTCAAAAAGAATTGATGGGGATACTTAACCCGAGATATTATTTAAATATTCATATGCTCATAGACAATGGAGGGTAGCCCAAACCATTAAAAGATTAAGCTTTAACTTATATTTTGATTTAATTTATTTTAATTTTTAATTAAAGTTTATTAATTAGATTTTATTTGTTAGGTTTGAGTTAATTATTATTAAATATTTTATTTAATGTGCTATAAGCTCAATTATTTGTTTTTGTTAATTATTCTATTTTTCTAAATGTTAGGGAATTTTTTAATGAATTGAATAAAAACTTGCGAAGTTACAGCTTTCCAACCCCTATTCTTATCTTCTCTGGCTTTTCTTCTCTTTCTCTGGCTTCTTCTTCTTAGCTGTTTCTTTTCTTTATTATTAGGTTTCAAATCTTTTTATGTTCTGCATCACAATTCTATTCTCATCCTGGTGCACCGGCCTTATCCCTGATTATTACTCATCTCCTTGCCTGCTATTCAGGGATCGTCTTGGAGCTCTTTCACTTTGCTGTTCACTTGAAACTTCTGAAGACAATTATCATACTATGGAGTAAAATACTCACAGTTGCTCAAAGTAAAGGTGGGTGAAGTTCCATTGTAAGCAACATATCTCATCTGTGCTCCAATCTTGCACAGGAATTCTTCAAAATGGTTGAAAGTGTGATATTGTAACGATTGCACATGCTAGAAATTCAGACTCTGGAATAGGGCCGCATATTTATTTTCCCTTGCTATTAAGTTACAATACATTTGATGCACAAAGTAAAATGGCATCAAAAGCCTACTGCAAGAACTCTCTTGGATCAGTAACAAAACCAGTCAAAGCAGATGCTGCTGCCGTGTATGGAGAAGCAAGATATATCTGGCCTTCCTTGTGTCCCATCCGACCAGGGAAGTTCCTATTTGTTGTCGATACACAGACCTGCAACAACAAAGCCCTCACAGCAGTTAACAGGATATCTGAACATCATTAACGCCTCCCTTAATCTTTTCCCAGTGAACATACAATGCAGAAGCACACATGGCAGAGAATTATTAATGATGCATACGGGTAATTTCTGGCGGACTGGTCAATAATCATCAACTAGATTTATATATCGAACAGCCCAACAATCTATTTCGGGATGATTTGAGTGAAAGAGAAGGGAACAACGCTACTTTCAGCATTTCCTTTGGAATCCAATAAGGCCTACCCGAGCTACTAACTAGATAGAGCTTTTTTTCGGGAGTTTAGAAGTGTTGTAATCAGATAATATTCTTCCAAGTCAGCTTAATATGCCAAAGACGACCCTATAATTACTAGTCTCCATCCCGTTTCAAACCCTACATACTTCTCTGATTATAAACGTGGTCCAGCATAGCCTCGTGTTTTCAGAATTTGTATGATCTGTTGAAAAAAATGCAACCCCATTATGGGAGCCACCACAAATGGGACTAGAACAGACAAAGCACATTTATTTTAAGGCTGAGGTGATGGACTAGATGCTGAGGTAATTAGAACCTGGAAGCAAGAGGAATTCCAGATTTTGATTATGGAACTGCTCCTGCAATTCTACCACAAACTGTGTTCCAAGGCTTCTAGCTGGAACCGCAAACAAACTCTAGGAAGGCAGAACAGCGTGTTACTAAGATATACCAGAAGGTAAAGAAAATTGACTTACTACAGGCTTATTCATGCGTGCATAAGTGTCTCTGGGGCCTCCCATACAGGCACCACAACTAGGATTTGCAGGTGTGTCGCAACCAGCTTCTTCAAAAATCTGGGAGCAAGTCTTGCCACCAGATCCTGGTACTGGGAGAGTATACAAGTCCATCCAAACCTGTAGTTATTATAATATGAATATGCCATATCAAATGTACAACTAAGTCTCTACAATCAATCCACATATAAAGACATAGTTAATCAGCATCGCAAACCTTTCCGGTAGCAGGGACGAGGAATGTGGGAACTCTGACCTTTTTACCCTGCAGAAAAGCGAAGGATAAATTAAGTCCAACAAGAGGGGATGAAACCAAATGTCAGGGTAAAAAAGAGTCAAATATTTGCAACAAAGACAAAACTGCCACCCCACCCTCAAATCAACAGAGCATAACTATTAACTCCTATCAATTGTTCCCACGCACATCAGCATGCTGCAGACGCAGTTAACCATAGATGACCATCCAAATTAGCAAGCAGAAATAAGTTTGAAGGAAGAATGATATTCAGACCAGAAATGAGTATGCTATGGAGGAAGAATATGCTCAAGTTTTATAAATGGAGGACAGAGAAAAGTTTTTAGGTTTTTAGAAATCAGTACATGAAGGGTTTTTTATAGACTCAGTTTCCTTAGACCTCTATTATCAAGACTACAAATTAGCATGTGCCATTAGTGGCTAACTTAGAACTCAAGAAAAGACTCTTCCTAGAAGATTCTACATTCAACAAACTTACCAGATAATCAAAGTAGGAACAGCACAGGTTTATGAATACAATCCTAATAAAGATACCCGATACCCGTACAAATTAACCCTGCTAATATAGGAATCAATATCAACCTGAGGAAATGATACAATTATACTTCTACTGGACATGGAAAAAAGGCCCACACAAGTCGGAGTCCTACCAGAACAAATTGAAATTATAATAAAAATAACATCTAATTTTCTTCTTTGATTTCTGTTCTATTAACTTCGAGCTGCATTGAAATAGCGGTCCAGCAGCAATAACATCAATAAAAATAAGTAAAGTAGATTATGGCACTTACAGAAGCTAGAAAAACTTTGGCTGCAGCCATAAAGTCTTCTGTTTTTCCGCCAGTACAAGATCCAATGTATACTCTGTCAATTTTGACATCTTTGCATTCTCTTGCTAAAGCACGATTGTCAGGAGAATGAGGCTGCAAAAATATATGGACCACCACTCCTTAAATGGTAAACAGAGCAATATCCAAGAACTAAAATATAACAGCAGTTTTTGTAAATCTTCAAGAACTAAAAGATAACAGCAGTTTTTGTAAGAGAATCAATCCAAAGAAGTTTTGGTCCCCCACTGCAAATTTCTTTTTCTTTCTTAAAAGGAAGAAATTAAAAACTCAAACATAAATAAATCACCCACCTTTGCGACCAACGGCTCTAATTTTGTGACATCAAATCTATACCCTGTGAGAAATCTAGAAGCCAAAGAAATATGTCATCACTATAAATGAAAACTAACTCAATACATAGAAACAACTAACAATTTTCTAGCAGTGACTGCCTATTACAGTAATAAAGTTAAAATCATGGTCCCAAGGGAAAAATAACAATATTTATTGACCATTGAGTTTTTCTGATCAATATAAGTGTTTTCAGATGACCAAATTATAGAACTTACTACCCGAAGTAAGTTACGGCTAAAGACAACCCTGAGAGGTGTAGCTTAACTGGTCAGATCCTGGGTTTGCTCTCTAGGGGCTAATAGTTTGAATCCCACAAATCTTAGGGTTATTGGAGACTTATATAGTCGTTAACTTCAGGATCTGTGAGATTATTCGAGGTGTGCATAAATTGACCCGAACACCCCTATTAATCTAAAAAAATGATACGGCTAAAGACAATCTTAAAATAACAAAATTTCAAGGCAGTTTACAAGTGTTCAATGCCACGATTTTAGTTATCTATGATCTCCAATTAGGAAATTTGATTACTTTAGACTTTTGCAGTTAATGATTGAACCTAATTATAGCAAAATTGATCCAAAATCTGAACAGGATTTTAATATATACCATTTTCCCATTGTGCGAACATTTTGTTTTACTTTTATAGATCCCATTTTAGAGTCATCAAAAAATCAAATAAAGTTACTTGGCAACGATTTTAGTTAAAACACACCTACCTTGCTTGCGCATCGCTATAAACTGGTTCATAGGGCAGGGACGTTTTATCCTGTGAGCAACAAAAGAAAACATTCTAAACTCTTGCTAGGCAAAACAGCTCTGTATCATGCAAGAGAAAATATCATCTATAATGAAAAGCACAGAAACCTAAGCAATGTTGCATGGTCCATCTAAAAATCAGCAAGGCAAACCTCAAGGTACTTGAATGTAGTACTGTCAGCAGGGACAACACCATTCTTCCCCCCAGCTTCAATAACCATGTTGCATAGTGTCATCCGTTCTTCCATCTATATTCAAGACAGACAATCAGAAAAATCAAAAGAAATAAATTGAAGTGCAATTAACTAGCACAGATAGAGCATGGAGGACCAAATACTGCTCGACTACCAAGGTTACTCACAGTTAAACTTTCAACAGTTGTGCCAACAAACTCCATCGATTTATATGTGGCACCGGCAACAGATATTTCACCAATAATCTGCAGAGTGACAATAAACATCACACAATTGATACAGAAAATGAAAGTTCATATTCTTAAGTGTGTTTGTGGCAGCTTAAAGGAAACAAATGCATCAGACCCTAGTAAACTTACTTGCAGAATCAAATCCTTTGCTAGCAAATAATCAGGCATTTCACCATCCATTACAAATTTCAGAGTTGGGGGCACCTGCAAATTAAGAAGTAGGAAATCACAGGCAAATAAAGCGGCAATACCAAATCAATTCAATCCAGATGAGAACATAAATTTGTAGAAATGTCGCTCTGTTGAAAAAATAAGGTTATTCATGATGTATATATAAGTTGGTAAAAATCACCCTTTCAGAACGTAGTTTCTTTAGATATTTAAATCTAGTTCATTGTACTGATTGCCAGCTGGTCACTCTGGAACCATCACATGCACAAGTTGGAAACTTCACAAGATGCAATTTACATGTTTTGGCAGACTGCAGAGACATCTTCAAAATTCTAATTTCAGGTCAAAATTGGCAATCACTCCTTTCCGAGGGAACAAAAGGTTTGGTGGATATGTTCGTAACAAATTGAGCGAGTAATAATAGCTTGAACCCGCGTAGATTAATCCTTGAGGCAAATGCTATCCAAGGTCACCAAACCTCATTCTAAAAGTAGAACAAGCTTTGAAAATGCAGTCTATAAAATCATGGATGATTTTATGCTATCCAACAGAGACCAAAAAGAAAAAGAAATCTCATCTGAAGAAAGCACCTAAACCAGATATTCCATGCATCCTATTCAACATGAAAACAAGGATGCAACATAAAGGATCAACTTTTCTGACCTTGAGCAGGAGCTTCCCAGTGCCTAATACGAAACCAGCATCAGTGTTTCCAATTCCAGTTGCAAATTGGCCAAATGCTCCAGCAGTGCATGTATGTGAATCTGTTCCTAACAGTACCTGAAGGTCATAATGAATGATTACTGGCTTTCTTGAATATAAATGATAAATTTGACAGCTCAGTGAGAGTAAAAAACTGTACCTCTCCAGGTCTGCAATGACCTTCTTGGGCAAGTGCAACGTGGCATACACCTTTGTAGTCGGGGTTAGCCTGCAAAGTCACAAGTAATATATGCCCATTCAATGTCAGAAAATGGCAGTGATAAAAAATTCATCAGTTAATAACATAGAGTTTTCAATTAAGCACATTGACATTGAACCATACCTTGTAGTTACCAAGATCCTTAATATCATAGAAGTACTTTATATCTTGATCATTGCAGAAATCTCTCAATATATCCACATTGCGATTGGCAAGCTTATCTTCAGTGAATATATAGTGGTCTGGTATAACGACAACCTTTTCACGGTCCCAAACCTGAGATTTTTAAAGAGTAAGCCAGGTAGGTACTTTCAAGCATAGCCGAAAGACGACTCCAGAAATACAAACACACATGGAGAGAGAGTCGGAATATTGATAATGTCAGTTGCTATTTATTGGGAAACTCTGAAGTAAAAAATGGAGTTTCTAGGCATCAAATGGAAATTGAATTAGTCTGATAATTTCACGCAGCATTCTAGAAACAGAGCCTTCAAAGCATACACACCATTTAGAATAATTATACATGCAAACTTTTACAATATGGTTTTGTACATTAAAAAACCCTTAGCAGAATTCATAAAATTTATTCATCAATTTACGCTGAAAAAAAAGAAGTCTCGGTCCCTACCTAGCTAGAGTACCCAATCAAATCAATAACTCAAATCATTTACTCAATTAGAGTTCAATATAGTCACCAATAAAATTAAAAACCAATCAAATATTATAGCGATTGAAAAAAAAAATCAAATTGAAACAAATTATATTATCCAATTAATAATCAATTAAATATTAAATGATAATTTTTTTTTTAAAAAAGCCTAGGCACGCAAGCTTGGAATTGCCCACGTGCCTGAACTTTTTTTAAATTTAATTTTCTTAATCTCTATCAAGGTAATCCAGTCACTTTCTATCTCATTTCTCAAACTAAAGACCAAAAAAAAAGTTTGAGATCAGAAATGAATTTCATAAATTGTTAGGGACTAAAAGTTTATAGTTTACAAAGTTGAAGGACTAAAGTGTATATTTAGACTCAAGTTTAGAAAAACCTTATCTTTTTACCATGTTTTTTAGTTTAGTCCCCTATCTTTAAATCTTATCATTCCTTAATAGATGTGCTTTAATTGACCATCAATTTGAAGGTATAAAGGTGTGACTAAAAATAAAGAAAGAAAAGGGACTAAAAAAAACACAAATCACTATAACAATCCACAATGATGTTTTCTTTTGATTAGTAACATTATGAATGATATTTGCCCTACACCTTTTAAAGAATTATTTCACTAGTTTATAGACCTGTCTTATGTTGAGTTTGGATAAAAAATAATTTGAACAAAACAAAAAAACATTCAAATCATAAAAAAATATGTAACAATTTTATTAAACTCGACTGTATCAATCTTGAAACCTCTTAATCCAACTATTTTCCCAAACTATGTTTGAAATTAAATCATGTAAATTCTTTTTTGATATGATCCAATCAACTTTAACCAATTCAAAAGCATTCTCACAAACCGTTAGAAAAAGTTTGAGAATAAAATTAAAAAAAAATCTTCCGACTCAACTTCTTACATGATTTAAAATGAAAACATGTAGGAGTTTTTCTAAAGGGACCTGATTGACATGGGCAATCCAAAAATTAAAGAAGAAAATAAGAAAAAAAATTATGAAATTGACAAGAAAAAAACCTTTCAACTTTACTCCTTGTTTAGACTAAATTTAAAATTAAATTATATGAAAATTACCTTAATATAATTCAATATAATCCAGTTGACTTAGTTGGTCTAAAGATAATGTAGACAATCATAAAAAAAATATAAGAATGAAATTTAAAAAAATAATAAAATTTTAAAAAATAAAGATTGAATTATATATAAAAAAGAAGAAGCTTCATTAATAGTAGAGCACTGTAACAATTCCTAAATTCATAAAAAATTAAAATTATTTTGATATAATCTAGTTAACTTGGTTGCTCTAAAGATAATTTAGATGATTGTTAAAAAAAATATAAAAATAAAATATAAAAATAAAAAAATAAAAAAATAAGTACTGAATAAAAAAAGAAGAAGAATAATTAACAGTGGAGCTCCGTAACAATTCCCAAATTCTTTGATCAAAACAGACACGAATTCATGCACTCTTTGTTTTACATTGGGGTGTTTGACATTGATGTTAAACTCGTTTTTGATCAATTTTTTTTAATTAATTTTTTTATTATTTTGATTTGTTGATGTAAAATATAATTGTTTTTAAATAAAATATTATTTTAAAATTAAAAATATTTTAAAAAATAATTTCTCATGTACTATCAAGCACCATCTAAAAAATCCAAACTAAACCTACAATTCATTCAAATATATCGACTTATCAACCAGAGAAACAACAAAAGCACATTCAAGTGCCCTCTATTATAAAATTAAAAAAAAAAAAGGTAAAGAAAGAATCCAAGAAGCAAGAAAAAAAAGGGCTAGTCTACAGCAATTGAATACCTTAGCATGCGGTCCAAACTCTCTCTTGAATATCCCGATAGAACCAGGGCCAGAAATATCATGGGTCATCAAGATATCAACGTTGACCCAAACATTGTCACCTGGGCTCACCTGGGGCTCCTCACACGCTCTAGCGAAGATTTTCTCCGTCATTGTCATTGCCGTCTTCACCTGCAAATTCACCGACATAAACCCATCCCATGATAACGCTTCCACATCGATTCTGGAAAATGAAAAAGACAGCACCAAAGAACTCACTGCCAGAAACGAAATAAAAAGAAGCTAACCGAGCCAGTGGTGGCAGGCATGCGCTCTGATTGCTGAGGAGCCATGACCGATACAATCTTCTTTGAAACTGATTTCTTGCATTTGGGAACGGAAAAGGGTGGTGATGATGACGAAGAAGTAAAGGCAGAGAGGCCCAGATCCTTGCGCGGCATAAAAAAACAAACAATCAATTAAAGCTGACTGCATATATATATAGCAATCAAAACCAAAACAGAAAATTAAAAATCGGTGGCTAAAAAGCAAAAAAAGATAGTGATAAGAAGTACTAACCTTCTTGGCGATGAAGGATGCGGGGGGAGGGGGAATAGTAAAGGAAGCCAATGCCATGACTGGACAATCTATGATGATGAATGCTGCTGCTATGTTTTTAAGGTAAAATCCCAAGCTGTAATGTTTGGTTCTGTCGCGGCTCTAGAGCACGCTTGACGCCCAAGTCTGCCGCTAGAAGTAAAATACAAGTGCGACTTGTGCTCTGATCCGTCTGATGGCTGATGTGTCCGGTTTCTTGATGGGCCCCATCCAACCAGACAGAATAAAATTGAGTAAATTCAAGTTCTTACATGGTCCCTCTAGTTTTGGATATTAACCCTTATTATAACAAACCACACGTGTTTCATAGGAAAACAAAAATCTCTTTAGATAGTGGGGTGATTTTTTTTTTTTAAATTCATACCATATTTTAAAAGAAACGAGAAAAGTACAAGCTTGAAATTATTGATTTAATTGGTTTTAATAAATTTTATTAATTGAATAATATAATTAAAAAATATTTTAAATAACAAGAATAAAAATAAAAAATTATACTTTTCTAAAAAATAGAAAGACAAAAAAACCCATAAATAATATATATTATTTTATTTTATTTTAAAGTTAAATTAATAATTTTACTGTGAAATACAAAATGACTAATCTAATTCTATATAATTTATAAAAAACAATTTTCTTACCCTAATGCCCCGTTTAATAGTTTAATTGCTAAGCGGTAATTTTATAATTGCGAACAGTGTTCTTAGTCTTGGTGTAAAATAACTTTACTATAATATTTATTTATTTATTTAATTGATTTAGGCACCTGTATGCTGCTACTGTTCATGAAATCCTCATCAGTGGAAGGCCTCATGCCTAGCTCTTCCTTAACTTTCTTAGCACAGTAGTAGTTCTAGGGATTTTCTTGCTGGTTGCCGCATCTTGCGAAGTAAAGCGAGAAGATGACTTGTATTCATGGAAAAGTCAGCCTAATATGCCAAAGACGACCCTATAATTAATAGCCAGTCTCCATCCCATCTCAAATCCTACATTCTTATCTGATTATAAAAATGGCCCACAATTTATGAAACCAGAGGGACCGCAAAATAAATTTACCCAGATAAAATTCTGGGAGAAGTTTATTTTTGCCGAGATTCATCAATCTTCTACCTCCGTATCTCTGAAGTCTTCAATGCTAAGTTATGTTGTTAGGATTTGCGAGTTCTACTCCTCTTCTAGGGTTTCTTCAGGCCTTCTTACCGTTTTTCCATATGCTGTCTCACTTAGAAACTCAAGTAATTCACCATGCAAAAAACAAAGGGATCCCTTGCACCAACTTTCTCCCCTTTTCAGAAAAGAACCACCACCTCTAAGCCGTGAGTCATCTTCTTCGCTGCAGGCCACTACCGAGAGCCACATCCTCAGCAGCAGCACCAGACAGTAAAGGAACCGTGAACTCTAGTAATTAGTGGTATCCAATAGCAGCGACCTTCCCTGCACTACACCGTGAGCAAGCAACAGCAAGAGTAGCGACTCTCTCCTCAGTCATAATCTTCAGCAGCCATCCACCATTCAAAGTACCTTCCTCCTCCGCCCCAGGTAATCGTCATTGCTCTGAAACTTGCGCTTCATGTTTTCCTTTCCTTTGAAAGAGGCATGCAGGACGTGAATTAATTCATGTACTGCTGCCCCTGATTTCTTCCTTTCAAAATGAAAGAGGATGGGCTGGACACTCAGCCCAGCCCATGTGGCTGGGATAGGTCCAGCCTACTAAAAAATGGAATTGAGGCAGAATGGGCTGGGCTTAAACCTTGAGCCCAATCAGCTCAACCTCTAAGCTAAGAACACACCCTAATGCTTTTCCACTAATTTTTTGAAATAGTTTTTACTTTAGTACTTAACCAAACAAAGCCTTTAAAAATACCTCAGGAAATTTCAAAAAATTCATGGGCCATTTTAAATATATTTATAACCATCTCACATGCTTTTTTTTTTTTTAATTTTATACTTTATATTATAGCTTTGAACTTATACTATAAAATATCTTATATCAAGATATCTACTTTTCACTGAAATTCTAAGAAATTTTAAAAATTTCTCTAGAAATTTTCTCACTTCTAAGACACACAAAACAAATGTTTTATGGGAGCGCATATGACAAAGTTTTTAAAAAATACAAAGAAAATCATATTTGCATGCATTTTAGAATTTAATCAGTTTATTAAATTCATAATAATTTAGTTAATATTTCAATAAACTACTATTTTTTAATTAATGAGAATTAATAGTTAAAAATCACGTTATAGAACATTAGACCTACAAATAAAGTTAATATTTGAAATACCAGAGTTGACCAAATTTTTTTTAGAATTATTTTAAATGTTCATCCATTTTATTTAAAAGCATTTTTCATTGTAATACACAAATTATGAAAAAAAAATTCCTAAAAATTTATGTACACACAAATCCATAATAAATTCTTAAATGTTAAATTCATTAATACGAGTAAATCTCAATTTTAAATTAAAGATAAACCACTAATTAAAAACCATCAAAATCTTTAAATTACATCAAATTAAAATATAGCTTCCCTAAATAAAATACACTAATAATATTAATATCTTTTATAACTACAATCCATTTTTTATCCTTAAATTTTTGATAACATCAATACACTTAATATCAATTTCTAGCTATCTTAAACTAAACAACGAGATAACAACTTCAAACAACCTCTGGCGTCGCGCATCGCATGCTACATTTTCCATATGGATACATTTACAATTCCTATTCAGTCGAAGCGTTAGAAATGATGATCCATGATTAGAACTTGTGAGAACGTACAAAGAGATCAAAACAACAAGAAAATGAAAGAAAAGTCAAAAGTTTTACTCGATCTGGCAATGAAAAGATTAGCAAATTCAAGTTCTGAAATTGATCTATGAGCGACATAAACATTGCGAGACTAAAGTGGCAGAACGTTGAGTTAGCAATTGGTATGGAGTCTTTCACATCGACTTGACTGACAGAGTTATTTCTATACTCCTATCAATTACCATCACACTCTGGAGGAAGCTAACCTCGGAAGTGATTGTTTCTATGAAGCTTGCAGGATTTTCAAGTAATTTTGTGAGATTGAATGAAGATAATCATGACAGGAGCCAGGAATTCTTGCGGGTTTTTTGTATTGAGGACATAACCTGCATTTTGTCCACGTTTCTGAACTGGAACACAAATGCACTTGCTGTTCTCAATCAAATACTCTGCTGTATCTAACCCTTTTGTCCCCGAACCTCCTGACAGCTTAGTTATACCTGCTACTGCAACAGATATAAAAACGAAAGATAGTTAGGAAGTTCATATCCAAAAAAATAATCTAAATAACAAGTTCAAAATGGTATTTTCTGTTTCTAATAGGATCTTCTGAGCAAGTTCTTGATGAGTTGGTCTGTGGTCGTGTTATTAGCTCTTTCCTGCCCAATCTCTCCCCAACACGTTCATTATCTTGTCGAGGAGCAGAAGCAGTCGTCTTATTGCTACACAGATTTCCTTTTTGAATGACGTGCTGAGGGCCCCTCTTTGTTTTGGCCGGACTGTTTGAGGACCATAATCTAACACACCTATGTTACTCTGGCTAGCATTGGATTTGGCAGTTTTGATCCCTTCAGAATAGATTTAGAGAGGTCTGTGAATATGGTCTGTTAACAGAGTTCATTCAGATAAGGGAATTCTTTTTTTCTTTTTTTTTTTTCTTTTTTTGTGTGGATATTTTTACATTAGTTATTTACGTGCATTATACAGCAACCAGTATATGTATGAAATGTAATGTAAAGTTTGAAGATGGCTTGTCAATCTCACCCTACTAATATTGCAGCAGAGAAACCTCGTCGCTGGCCAACAATAAGATCAACTCCTAAAAGGTTGCTTTTATTAAGGATATTATTCGCCTTGTCTTTGGCCTCCTCCACTAACCGCGTCCTTTCTAAGCGAACAGGAACTTTTGGGTGTGTAATCTGGCATACCTGCCTCATTGCTTCAAAAAATTCACCTGGGACATGAATTCAATTTCGACATGGAGGAGTATCAGCTCATCATTCTCAACAACTACACGTACGGGAAAGTGCATGTTGAAGCGCTCCTGCCGACTCGCCGCTTGTGTCTGCCGCCACCATTACTTCCCTTGATTGTGTAGTATTCTCACTTCCCATCACCACCGATGGCCACCAACACCAGCCAATTGGGTTTAGACGACTTGAAGTAGAAAATGGGCTGCACGAATATGTATGCTATTGCCCTTGTGCATGGTTTGTGTTTATCCAAAACTACCTAACTTTTGTCAGCTCATATTTTGAGGATGAACAACTTAAGGACATTGTGGAGATGTGCTAAATATGGAGAGAATTTTAGTGCTTTGATGTTCCATGCTAACTTTGGAAGCTAAGTTTGTTTCTAGAACTCCAGCAGTATACGAGACTTGGTCGACACATGCCACCAGATCCTGCTGGCGAAAGGAAGAAGCATCTGTCAGCTGCAGTTCATTTTATAACTACTTTGAAAGAAAGGATCGAAAGACAAGGGGGCCAAAAACCTGAAAAGAGATGGATTTGATCTTGTAAAATTAAAGAGTACTAAAATGAATATTTTGAAAAATTTAAAGGGCGGTCTTCTCCTCTGTAAAATGACGTGAGCGGCAGGATTCGAACCTGCGCGGGCAGAGCCCACATGATTTCTAGTCATGCCCGATAACCACTCCGGCACGCCCACTTGTTTGTTATCTTTGGCTATTTTTTATATTTAAATATTTCTTTGAGGATTCAAAATATCCAAAATATAGATGGTTGGGTTTAGAGTTGCAGTGGATGACTGTTGGGAGGCTGGTTTCTTCTTTCGCAGCAAGAAACTTCTTCTTCTTCTTCTTCAAGTTGTTCGGTTACTTTGCTACTGAAGAAAACAGGTGATGGATTAATTAAGAAATCATTAGTCCCTTCACTGCTAGTACTGCTATGCATTCACTCATGTAATTAATATATGTCCTGTATTCCTCTTTGCTTCAAATTTTGTCTTTCCGTGTTTATTTCAACTCTTTCAACTAATTTCTCTTTCCATTCCTTCACTTGTTTTCAGTATTTTTAGACAGAAAATAATTCATGGGCTCCTTTCAAAATCACTCCCCTTTCCTTTTGAACTTACAGTTTCGCTCTCACCTCTTACAAAACTT